ACTGCTTTGCATGGCATTATACATGAAGAATTTCCTGTTTGTGTCGTGTGCATGTGCGTATGTGTGCGTGGCCACGTGTGTGTGCCGTGTGCATACACATGTTTGTGTATCTGTGTGCGGGGTAGCGAGGCGGGGAGGGCTGGTATGTATCAGTGTGTTATTGCAGTCGCATGGCTACATACAGTACATCACGCGCGTGGTCAACATGTTTACCTTCGGTTGGGGTGGGGAGGGAACGGAAAAAGAGCTGAAATTATCCATATAAAAATCGCTCTGTGAGCGGTTCTGAAAAACCTTTACTGGTACTGCCCCGTCGTAAAAGTAAGAAATTAGAACTGGCCCATTGTCCCCCCAAATGCGAACTGATCCACCTAAATCGCGAATGACGGGACCCGAACGCACCAGTAGCACGAGGTTCCTACCTGTGGATGCAGATGGGGACGTTGGTCCGGACCATAGGCCATGTACTGTACTAGCGGTAGGCTTCCCTATCAAAATAATAAATTCTACTGCTACTACTGGTGTTACCCTATGATAATTGCCGTGATCCTGTGCCCTCCCGACCTCGTGCTACTGGTGCGTTCGGGTCCCGTCATTCGCGATTTAGGTGGATCAGTTCGCATTTGGGGGGACAATGGGCCAGTTCTAATTTCTTACTTTTACGACGGGGCAGTACCAGTAAAGGTTTTTCAGAACCGCTCACAGAGCGATTTTTATATGGATATCCCACTTATGGGCTCACCACACCTCGGTAAGTGGTTGAAGAAAAGTTGCAGACAAGTACATCAGCGACTCAGCGTACCCAACCACCAAACTACATTGTAGCTACATGCACACTGTAGTCTACGGACTATCCATATGAAGATTGGTAATGTCATGCGATAACGTCAAATCCGCCATATATGGGAGCCAGTTGGGGTGGCAAAATGCCCAAAGCGGGTACCGGGTACAGAAACCCATTATTATAGAAGGATTTGGGGTGACGCACGGCAAACCCCCAGCAACTATCGCCCTATCTCATTGCTCTCTACTTTATCGAAAGTGTGCGAACGTGTTGTATATGACATCATTTATGATCATGTTCGCATTTCACTTTCGCCAGCACAGTCGGGCTTTTGTCGGGGTGACTCCACCAGGTACCAGGTTACCCGCCTCGTGCAAGACATCCACACCGCCCGGAACGCCCATAACCATGTTGGTTTAGTTTTCTTCGATCTCGCAAAGGCCTTCGACACTGTTTGACACAGGGGTCTCTTAGCTAAGCTGCGAACAGTATATCGCATTGATGGCAAGGCAATCGGCTGGCTCTCATCGTATCTCTCTAACCGACATCAGCTTGTACGCCTCTCAACTGTGTTATCGGAGCCTTTACCCGTTACTTCTGGAGTCCCCCAGGGTTCAATCCTTGGGCCACTGCTATTTCTCCTGTATATTAATGACCTCCCCGATATTGCCCCTGGTGTCAGCCTTTTCGCTGACGACACAGCTCTGCTTTGCTCCAATGCTTGCCCTATACGACTGCACGAAGCCATGCAAGATAGCATTGGGAAAGTTATAACCTGGATGCATGATTGGAAGTTGCAGCCAAACGTTGATAAAACGGCAGCTATGTACATTTCCCCGTCTCCCCCTTCCCTGCCACTTTGTTTTCCTTCTTCAAGTGTTGCTATTCGTATTGTTGAAGAGCATAAGCATCTTGGCGTTATTATTGACTCTAAATTGTCGTGGTCACCCCATGTGCAGTATGTCTGCAAGCGCACAAGCTCCATCCTTGGGGCTCTTCAAGCCCACTGTAGACATCTTCCTCTTTCTTGCAAACGCTTGTTTTATCGTTGCTATATATTGCCCTTACTTGACTACTGTGATACTGCTTGGTCTGGCATAACTACTACTGTATTGAACAAGCTAGAAACCCATAACCGCATGCTCCTTAAAATCTTATTTAGCAAAGATCGTCGCTTTCCCTCCGCTAGTCTTTACGAAATTGCCAAGATCAGTCCCCTTTCCACTCGACATAAGTACCACCTCTGTGTTCTCATACATAAAATATTACTAAATAAAATACCCTTGCATATGCAGGCTTATAATTGGTTCTCCGAAACACGGAATACCCGGAACTCACTCAGTCTCCCACGCGCTGCCTCCACCCTATTCACTAGATCCCCGATCTTTGCTGGCTATGTGTTTTGGGCAACATTACCAACGCAGGCCAAGACCAGCACGTCGATGGATAATTTTGTTGCTAAAATCTCTGCTCAATTATAGGTTTCATGTATATCCTGCTGGTTTGTCTCCTCCTTTGCCTTCTTTGCCTCTTATTTGTATTCTTTTATCTGTTTTACTGCTGTGGTTGGCTTTCACCCTTGTCTCAGTTTTACTGGCCGTCATCATGATGTGCCATGAGATAATGATATAAATACAAAATACAAAACGTACTATCTGACTTGTATCGCATAAAGGTGCGGAACGTGCAAGTATTTGTGGCAAGCATCTTCATATGGATATGTCTAGTCTGGGGACTAGCTAGGTGGTTGTTGGGTACACATAGTTCTACGAGGCCTAGCGCTAGCACTGCCCCTGGAGCCTCTTTAGGACCTCGTACAAGTGATTTGCGCCGCTTTGTCTTTGTTGTTGTTGTTGTTGTTGTTGTTGTTGTTGTTGTTGTTGTTGTTGTTGTTGTTGTTGTTGTTTGGCTTTATTTAAAGTGCAGTTCCAAAACAGGCCTAAACCTAATGACAATGGTCCCTCTGATAATAAGAGAAAAGAAAAATATATAAAAATAAGCAGACAAACAGAACCAAGAAGAAGATACAGCTGTAGTTAGATAACTAATATGAGCACGGCAGCAGGGGAAAAAAGTCACAAGCACAAGTCACAGTCTTTAGTTAACGCGGCTAGCCGGCTGCCAAAGAGTATTTCCAAACTTAGAACAATGCAATTATTTGGACCATTTGCACGTTCCATATTGTCTAGATCTAGATTGGGCTACTAAATCGAAGTGCAGCATGTTTGCCTTTTTCTTGCCGTGTTCAGTTTTTCAGGTCCTTTATACTATCAGAATTTGACTATGCATCTGCTGCCTATGCCCCTTTCTTATCGTCTTATCAGGATAAGCGCCTAAATAGTTTGTTCAAACGTGCGGCTCGCTCGGTGTGCAGGGCAGCCCCTCGCACTCACACGGCTCCCTTACTTGAACGCATGAATGCCCATACCCTCAGCATATACACCCACATGCACATTCTTGTATTCATTTGGCGCTGCCTGAACAAATCTTCAAGTACTCTGTTTGCAAGCTTTTTCACCCGTAGTCCCTCTCTCCGAACACGAGGAGGGAGCAGCAAGTTACTCATCATTCCTGTCTCCCCCACTGCATCCTCAGCTAAGCGCATTAGCCATGCTGGAGCTATCCTGTGGAACCAGCTCCCAGACACAGCACGCCTCGAAAGAAAGCGCTCCACTTTCAAATCGCTAAGCCTGGCCTTTTTGTTAGGCAGTACCGTCAACTAGGATGAACTCATCTGCTTCACTACCTCTCTCTCTCTCCCTCTCTCTCTCTCTCTCTCTCTCTCTCTCTCTCTCTCTCTCTCTCTCTCTCTCTCTCTCTCTCTCTCTCTCTCTCTCTCTCTCCTCTCTCTCACTCACGTTTCTTCCCGGTTGCCGTGCTTGTGACTTTTTTTCCCCTGCTGCCGTGCTCATATTAGTTATCTAACTACAGCTGTATCTTCTTCTTGGTTCTGTTTGTCCGCTTATTATTATATATTTTTCTTTTCTCTTATTATCAGTGGGACCATTGTCATTAGGTTTAGGCCTGTTTTGGAACTCCACTTTAAATAAAGCCAAACAACAAACAACAACAACAACATCTGAGCTACACCCGCACCGAGAGGCGCACTAGAGGGCAATCATTCTCTTCACTTTCTTTGCCCGCTGCTACCACTAGATATGGCATGTTCTGCATTTCTTTCCTTGGCGCTGATAGGTGGAATTCTCTGCCTGTCTCGTCTCGTCAGGTTGAGCATCTATCCGTTTTTGTTTCGCTCTGTAAAGAGCACTTAGGGTTCCCTGTAACAAGACGGCAACGTCTGCAGGGCCTTCCCTATCAAAATAATAAATTCCACTACTACTACTACTACTAGTACTACTACTACTACTACCCGCATCTAGAACACTGAACTCCAACACGTGCATGTGGTTGGATACCCCCTAGTGCAGTTACCTCTACCACTGCGCCGCTTTGGGACCCCTTCCAGGGGCTTTTATCGCTGAGTTTGCCTTTTTGTACAGGTGAGTTTCTTCTTGCATGCATGGCTACCACTACCGTATACCGTAAAGTACCGCCAGAGCGCCCCACCATCTCATCCTTTCGTGGTCGTATTGTGGAGGTGGTCTGCTGTCTGTAGGTCATACGACATGAACCTTGTACACATATTGCACGTTTTGCAGAAAATCCGTACCTTCGAGCGGACACAAGCTCCACACAAAACCCTGCCAAGCGTGACCTTAGTACACTGAGATTCTCACATCGTACAAACTTCGTTGCACTCTGCCATACGATTTTCCTTTCTCAGGCTGTAAAATCAAGGTGGGGCGCTCTCGCGAGACGGGGCGCTCTGGCGTTACTTTACGGTAGTAGTGCAACCCTGACAGCTAGTAGTTTAGTACCCCGTGATTTTTTCTGTTCCGTGATCACGACCAAGTGAATTGATCAAAAGGGACCCAGCTGTCGAATCTTGCCGAGTAGCCTTTCCACCTCATAAGGGCTTGTTTCTTCTTGTTATCCTTTCGGAGCACTTTCTCGATCCGATCGATTTCTGCGATACACATCATATAGTATGTTAGCCACTCCATATTCGTCTTCATGTATATAAGGGGTTTCTGTACCCGCTTTGGGCATTTTGCCACCCCAACTGGCTCCTATAATTATAATTATGGCGGATTTGACGTTATCGCTTAACCTCAATACTGTGTATAAAAAGTGGACAGGTGGGCCAGCACACTCATTTCTCAAGAAGCCAGTGCAGGAGCTGCTCCAGGTAAAGCAAGAGAGCCTTGATGTTGGCTTGTCGCTCCCCGCCCCCAGCTTCTTGTTTGTCTAGTATGTGTGTATGTGTGTGTGTGTGTGGGTGTGTGTGTGTGTGTGTGTGTGTGTGTGTGTGTGTGTGTGTGTGTATGTGTGTGTGTGTGCGTGTGTGCATGTGTGTGTGTGTGTGGGGGGGGGGGGTGTATGTGTGGGTGTGTGTGTGTGTGTGAATGTGTGTGTGTGTGTGTGTGTGTGTGTGTGTGTGTGTGTGTGTGCGTATATGTGTGTGTGTATGTTTGTGGGTGTGTGTGTGTCTATGTGTGTGTGTCTATGTGTCTGTGTCTATGTGTGTGTGTGTGTGCGTGTGTGTGTATGCGTGTGCGTGTGTGTGTATGTATGTGTGTGTATATGTGTGTGGGGGGGGGGCGTTCGTGCGTAGTTGTCCCTTCTTCCGTGTTCTTCCTCCACTTCTGTTGACTTCCTTTGCTCGCCTCCGTGTGCTATTTTCGTTTTGACAGAAGTCTGACAAGTTGAAGGTGGGCGTGATACGATATTGTCTAAGCCGTGCTCGCACTGTCGCCTTACAAAATGGTAAGAGTTGTGTTCGGTGTCCAAGCCCGGTTTTTGACATGACTGTACTAAGTACATCGTAGTTGTACATTTGGAAGTACAATTGTTATTATTTACATAAGTTTGTATTTACTGCAATTTTATGCCATTAGACTGTATTCAGAGCCATTAAAATAATTCAAAAAATGGTAAGATCTACTATTAGAGAGGTTAAGTAACACGTTGTTTTGCCTTTTTTTCAAAACGCAGTGCAAATCTCACGTTACGTGTAAATTTTAGAGGTTAAGTTACACGTGCGACATGACGTGAAATTTTACCTGGCAGGATTCGGGTTTAGTTCACACAAATATAATATCTTCCAACAAACTCGATAAAACTCCGGTGACTCACACAAATTCGGTCGGGATAAGGGGCCATCGGTAAATATCGATATTTATTTAGAAACCAAAACTAGTCGTTTAGAGGGGAGGGGGCTGAGCGCCTGTTCGTTTCTCGAAAAATATCAATGTACATTTTTGCGTGCGTGAGCAAAAGTATGCTATGTTCCATTTGTATGTGTTCGTTTCTCAGGGAGGGGGAGGGGGGGTGGGGGGGGGGGGGGGGGTTGAAGAGAAACGACAAGTTTTCGTTTCTAAATAAGTATCGGTATTTACGGAAGGCCCCTAACCAAGCGAAACTCCCAAAAACCCACGTCACAAACTTACGTGCGGGACAGTCAACTCACGTAAAACAAGTCAAATTTTACGTGAGTTTTTTTAAATTTGTGACGTAAAAGCTCACAGACGTTAGAATTTTACATGAAACTTAACCTCTCTATTATAGTAAGTGTGATGAGATCAGCTCGCAGAGTAGAGTCCGAATGCTTCACTACCTTGTCATTGGGAAGAAATTTCCATTTGGATTGTGCGAAGCAAAACAAAGTTTAAAAAAAAGAAGATCTGGTGAAGGTTTATGTCCAGCAGTAGCTGAATTTCGAGGCGCTTGCACAGGCGTGTATGGCGTACATGTACATACAGCTGTGCTCCGTTCATGTATACTAATTGACCAGTGCTCTGCGAAAACCGACCTTAGGTGCTATTTTGGCGAAATTGAGTTTGTGCTGGATTGTTGACCCATGACCCTTTCTTCAACTTCTGGTGAAGTTTAAGGTGGATTGCATACATATTCAGTTAGATACAATGACAATTTCTTTGCACTTTTCCTGCAATTTTTGGAGGAAAAATAGCACACACAAGCGGAAAAACCGTCAGAGATCAAATTCCATTACACAGTGTTTCACCGTTCAAGCAACGGATCATCAGATGGATGATCAAACAAAGTATGATACACTGGTTATATACTCAGAAGGTGTGAACTCCGTCACTATGGAGTGTGAAGATTATCATTATGTCGGGTCCCGGATGTGACAAGTCCACCCTCATCTAGCACCTAGGCAATCTGTACAATGCATCATGAAAAATGGACTTGTCACATCCGGGACCCGACATAATGATAATCTTCACACTCCATAGTGACGGAGTTCACACCTTCTGAGTATATAACCAGTGTATCATACTTTGTTTGATCATCCATCTGATGATCCGTTGCTTGAACGGTGAAACACTGTGTAATGGAATTTGATCTCTGACGGTTTTTCCGCTTGTGTGTGATGAAGCTCTGCCTCGCTTGCATTGAGCACTCTCCGCAGTTTGAGACCATTCCCTTGTGTGAGGAAAAATAGCAAAAATCCAGGATTTTATGCTACATTTTGGAACCAATGCTATCAGAGTTCAAGCAGGATGATTGCAACCAAACTTTGCAGAATAAATCTGTATGTCATAATCCTCAAAAGGAAAGGTTTATGATGGTATCGGATCTTGCTGTTGTGGAGATAGACACATTCTATCTCTGTTCTGTGGATGGTGTTGCTCACGAATCTGGTGGAAGAGGTATTTGGCTCTGTTTGAGGATATGCCAGCCGGAGTGATGCGTAGAGGCAGGTGCAAAGTAGTGAATAAGCTAGGTACAATGCCGGGTTAAAGGATCATGATTGATAGTTTTATATGGTACTGGTAGTTAGAACATCTAGTTATGTCTACATCAGCCACACACATTGTTTCGTAATCGGTGATATCATGGCAGTCTCTTTTCCAAATCTTGCCAAACGTACTGTATGCAGCTTTGTCACCAGGCTTTGTGAACGCCTGGTGAACAAGCTTCTTCGTAGTGATACTGGGCAAATACATGTATGTTGGTACTGGCTTGTTGTGCCCATGTGGAGCCGCAGGTTAAGGGAGGCCATGAACTATAGCATAATACTAGCATAGCATAATGCTCTATAAAATGCTTCAGCTCCACAACATCTTCCACAGGCAGTGCATTCCAGAGTTCTGTGTTGGGCGGATTTCACTTGCACTGACAGCAGCCTGTAGATTTCAGCACCCATGGCTTGATCCTGGAGGCACACACAAAGACTTCCTGACATGCATGTACATGACTTCCACACCAGCCAGTGACTGTACTCATGGTACTTCAGTAGTTCAGAGTAGTATTGTTGAGCCCCATCTATCACATCTCCCAGCATGCTGGACGCGCTGGGTAGCCTCACCTGTCACCACGTCTCCTGAGCACGTCTAGCTTTCTGCCTACACACAAGCAGCGATCTGTCTTGATCAAGACCTGCGCTGTGTGTGCTGTAAGTGTAAGCAAGGTTTCAAGTGTCACGCTCTTGAAACAGCACCAGTGCGGAACACCTACAGCGCGTGTCAAACTTGTGACGCGCCTCCTGGATTGTAGACAGTACTTGAACCGATTTTTCTTGGTGTGCACTCTGTATATAGCCGGCATTGAGGGGCTGGGCTGGTGGCACAACCGACGCCTGATCGAAATTCTCCTCCGCATCACCGTCCAGCTCGATCAGCGTTACGTCCTGCGATTCCACATCCGACTCTCCTCGGCACTGCTGTCATCAGAACTGCGAATCGACCAGGCAAAAAAATGACTATTCATCGCGAAGGAGTTCGGCTAAAACCTCTGGGGAGAAGCCCACAGCAATTTGAGCTAGCGACCGTCTTCTGCTTCGTTCCGCCATGACTCTCACCTTGTAATCTTCACAAATCGACAGATCGTGACGCTTTGTTCTTTTTCTCGAAAAAATTACGAAGCACCTAAGGTCGGTTTTCGCAGAGCGCGGGTCAATTGGTGTTAGCTCTTAACTAAGTTAGTCACGCCTTCTTCTACATCAGTTGTACACAATGTCTTCATGCCTTAGTAAATAGAAGTGTGATTCAGCCAGCACTTTTTTTGGTGTGTTTTGTGTCCCATTGCACCGATACCTCGCGTCGGCTGAGGGCAAAAAGCCTCACCATCACTATGCTCCCACTATGCAACTTTTTGTCTTTGCCTGTGAGCTGTGATCATTTAAAAAAAAACAAAAAAAAACACAAAAAACAATCGTAATGCACCGTTGCATCAGTGCACAGACCCTTGTAGTAGCACTGTGTGCTGGACGTCTTGATTGTCTCCATGCCAGCCGTATCATGCGCAACTGTGTTATACATGTACCATTGTATCGCTTTATCCTCATATAAATCGATATGCTTTGATTCCGCCCTGCTCGGTCGACGGCGATAACTACGGTTTGCCCTACTGCACATTTATGGGGGATGGCACTGTACTAATAAGGAAACCTTCCCTTCAGTGTTCTTTTTCCACGTATTTACATGTACTTGTGAAATTAACACACACTTCCTTTGCACAATTAAGGTGAAAAAGTATTCAAAACCCTCAGATATTAGATGGAGAGCCAAGGGTTAATTTATACAAAAGAGAAAGACCAAGGAACTTCAAGTTATCCAGGCCCTTTATATTGCGTTGTCTCTATGGCAAGCATGGACGCGCAAGTAGCTACCCAGGCCAAATGAATATGCATGAACTGATGAATTACATGAATTAATATATTGTGGGCCTAACAATATCTTAATAGGGCAGTCCTCACAGACTCAAGGCCTTCTTACGGGGTACCCTAGGAATTAAAGTAATGCATGGCGAAATCGGGATGGTGATTGCATATTGCCTGATGAATGCCGATTTTGAATCCTTATTGTTATTACTGCAGGTTGCACGGATCCACGGGGCCAGCCTCGTCTTTGGACTGCTCGTATTGGCAATGTATGCTATAGGAACTATACAAGCTGAAACAGGTAGGTGGGAAACCAAGGGACAGTCATTAATACCTAGAAGATATATGTATGTAAACACAACAGAACAACAAGGACAATCAAGGCTTGTTTGCTGCTACTTTAAGTTTCATGCTTACGCAATCATCAGGCAACATGAAGATCGGGTGCCGACCATGCCGGTATATATGCCAGGAGAGGGTGGTATAAAAAGCTGTGTGAGACTGTGGGGGCTAGCGCAGTAGCGGTGATGTTTTAGGCAAAGGGCTGTGGTGTGCAGAGTGTGTGGTTGTTGAAGGCAGGGGCTAGCAGTGCAGTGTGAGCGCGAAGTGTGTGGCTGGTGTGGGCAGGAGGTGGTGAACAATGCGTGTGGATGTTGTAGGCAGGAGGCTGTACAGCTAGCAGTGTGATAATAGCGCAATGTAAATGGATATGTCTGGTGTGGGCAGGGTGTTATGAGCAAGGTGTGTGAACGTGAATGGAGTGGGCAGGAGGCTGTGGAGACATGTTTAGGTGACACCGTGGTTTTTTAGGAGATACTTGTTCTCGTGTCGGCACTTGGACACCATTTCGGAGCGCTTGTTGAGGCTGGACGGTGACCCTAGCGTGTTCAGGATGTGATACTTTTCTCTGGTACAGAGGGAACACCGCTTCGTGATGTTGGAGTATGCCCGGGCACGATCTTTTATCCTCCATTCGACTTCGTATTGGGCGTTGGATTTCTTCAGCTTCCAGATGTAGTTGGAGAACTCAGTGCAGCTGGAGTACTTCTCGTATCTTGTTGTAGTCATGTGGTTGGCATGGCGTGACTTGAATGGTGGCGCCGACATACCGGTGTATTCCTTTTTGGTGGGGCCTGACGTTATGGATGCCACATATATCAGCTCCGTCGTTTGGCATTCACCGTTGAGTGGACAAGATGGCTTGTCTCGGCAGTTGCAGGGCTTTTCCGGTTTTTTCGTTTGCGGGCAGAGGACCGCTTTGTTGTGGCTTTTGATGCGTGCAGCCATATTTGGCATGCAACTGTAGCTTATCTTGATGGTGTTTTTTGTGAATATTTTTCCGAGCTTCGACTGCGGGGGGAAGTGCTTCTTAATGAGCGCGAGGAATCTTCCACCGATGTTTGTTTTCACATTACGGCTGTAGGGCGGGTTGTACCAAATCACCTTTCTCTTCCTTTTCTTCTTTTTGCTTGTTTTCTGTTTGAACTCTAGCGTGCTAGGGTGGCCGCTGGCGTTGAGGGCCTCCGCGTAGATGGGGATAGCATCACGGAACACCGCCTCTGAGCAGGAGATGCTTGCCAGTCGGTTGTTAATTCCAGCTGGGATGTTCTTAAGGACTTGCGGTGGGTGATTGGAGTTGACGTTGACATACAGTGGGGTGTCGTTGGGTTTTCGGTACGGTTGGTAGGTTCCTGTGGAGAGACTCATTGTGATGTCCAGGTAGTTAACAGCGTTCAGGTTGACGTCTATCGTGATTTTTAGCCCCAGCGTCTTGAAGGTGTCGATGACAGCTTTCCTTACTTTGTCCGCACTGTGGCCAGTGGCGTTACGGAGGACGGCAAGCCCGTCGTCTCTGTAGAGGCCTACCGAGCCGCTACTGAAGTGCTGTTCGAGTTTACCCAGGAGGAAGGCGCCGACCAGCTCACATGCTTCAGCGCCATCGAAGGATCCCATGGTAACATCGAACAGCCCGTCTCTGTTTTTCTTTGCCCATGTTCGGTTAGCTCCGAATAGCAGTGACTGCCTCGCGTGTAGTATTATGTCGGCGTCACAGTCAGGAATTGCCACGAACTGCTTAGCGTAGGCGAGGGCTAGGCTCAGCAAGTTTTCGGAAATAGATGGATAGAAATCCACTATATCGAACATCACGAACGTGTGGCTAGCCTTCTCCTCGATTGCCTTGAACCAGTTTATGACGGAGGATGTGTTTTTCCATAGGTTGATGTTGGGTTTGTCCCGCAGCGATTCCACTATGCCGCTCAGTATCTTTCTGCTGATAACGCCTATCTCCGGCTTCGCAGGGTTAATTAGGCGGCATGGTATGTTCCGGGGGAAGTTTTCTTTGTGGTCCTTGATGGTGACGAAAGCTTCTGCCTTTGCCATGGTGTCGATGCGGTCCTCCAGGCCCTTATCAGCAGCGATTTTCTTGGCCTCGTCGTTGATGGTGTCGTAGGAGCCTTCTGGTGCCGCTTGGTAGTTTCTTGTGATGTTGTCGTGGAGTAGCTTCCTGTATTCTTCTGGCGGCATCTTGTACAGGTTTCGTGTTTTGTCTGCGGGTACGATTATGTCGTTGGAGCTGCTGATCGTTTGTAAGTCTTCCTTCATCTTGTCCTGTAGTTCGTTATGCACGCTACGGTAAGTCACGCTGCCAATCATCTCATACATATCGTCTTCGAATTTCTTCATCTCGTCCACTTGCGGTGGGCATTTTCTTGTTTTGAATCCGAAGTTTTCTCCTTCTTGGTCGTCTTCTTTTCTGTCACCACGTAGGTAGAATATTGCTCTCCAGCGCATCCTCTTTATGAGTTGTTCCGTCCTTTCAATGAGACGTAGTGTGTACTCCTTGTGGCTGGGCAAGGGGATATTCTTCAGAGAGTATCCGAGGTTGACGCGCCTTGGGGTGTCCATTGTTGGGGTAGCACAGCTAAGGTAAGAGTGCTCTACCACGGGAAGTGGGAGCTAATTCACCGAAGGATGTACCCAGAGTGCTGACAGTGCTCAACACCACAAAGGCAGAGCGTAATACACAACAGAACAACAAGGACAATCAAGGCTTGTTTGCTGCTACTTTAAGTTTCATGCTTACGCAATCATCAGGCAACATGAAGATCGGGTGCCGACCATGCCGGTATATATGCCAGGAGAGGGTGGTATAAAAAGCTGTGTGAGACTGTGGGGGCTAGCGCAGTAGCGGTGATGTTTTAGGCAAAGGGCTGTGGTGTGCAGAGTGTGTGGTTGTTGAAGGCAGTGTATGTAAACAAAACGGCGAGGAGACAGTAATTTGATAACCGCAATCAACAAGACAAGCTGAATCGACAGTTGCGTATACTTTATTCATGCAATGCAAAAATCCTAGTTTTTCTCTACACTATTTCTTCCTACTTTCATCGTTTTATTGCACATTACTGCAATCGCCACGCAAAGTGGTCATTGGCTACCCCAGCCATGTATTGCTTGGAATAAAATAAATAAATGAATAAATGACATTGTCTTCACCGTTTTACATTGCATAGGTAAAGTATACACAAATGTCGACTCAGCTTGTCTTATTTATTGTATACATAATAATTATATATCATATATGCCATGACAACAACCATATCCTGATCATAAATTTTAATAATCCGCTGATCATGCATTTTGTAGTGAAACACACAAAACCTGGGCTTGTCACGCGTCTGGGTACAAATTACCCTTGTCTTGAGTAACGGATCACTGGCCCCATGTGTCTCAATGTACCTGGTGACAGACAGTCCATGCAAGGAAGTATAATGATACTGGCAATTCCACTAATATCTGTATACTAGGTGCAGTGGAAAGAAACACCAGACACACGTGGACAATTCTGCTAGCCCCAGCAGAACCATCGAGCGTGGCCGATGTGCCGAGCCTCGTAGGGGCTGTGGTTCGACGGCACGGACTCCCATGAACAACAGGCCAGCAGTGTTGGGCTCGAGTCAGCCAAAGTCTGGTTTTTTTATTCTATTTTTACTATGTTCACATTCCCAGCAAGGGGTGTGCGGATAATGCTCGAAAGGTGGCAGATTCTGCTCGAAAAGCAGTGAAATTGGCAGAACCATACAAACCTTATGGCGGGCAATTCCTCGAATTCTGCTCCATTTCTTTATCCACATACCAAACATGCATGAAACTTACCAGAAAAAGGACCGAATTCTGCCAAATTTTCTGCCGGCATCATCCGCATATGCCTATTCCCAGCTCGAAAATGATAAAGAAAAACAATGGTACTGAGACCAGGACGAACGTGACAACTACTGAGCAGGGGCTGCACCGAGACGCAGCAGTGATGGTGGGGCATTGATGGCTCTGCCGACCTGAGGTCTCGGCATCACGGCCAAAAGCACGCACCTTTAACCTGTGATGTTAGATTTATCAGTATGAAGCTGAAGAAAAAGCAGACTTGCTTGCTTTTTGAGAACCACTGTCAGGTCACGTATTCTATAAAATTTAATGTGGCAAAGGCCATGAATACTCACGAGTTCCGTATGACTTCTGGCTCTTTTGTATATCTTCTATACACACTTCGGTTGGGTTTCTATTTCTTCTATCTTTTCCAGGTATCCTGGAAACGTTGTGTTCGAGAACTTCTACACGGATTGCTAGCCGAGTACAACCCATTTATACCACGTACGCGGCAGCGGAACAGGACTGCCAGCGCCTGGCGCCGGTCTCTGCCAAATACTCTGACATTTTGAGTCTTGAGACGCTCTACTCCGAGTTATACTCCGAGTGCATAAAGAAGCATGTCCTGAAAATGTCTAAGAATGTCCGCCCGCCTCTCTGGGTGAAGAGCGTGTCACGAGGCACGACCAAAATGGCATCCAACCACCAGTGGTATAACATCAACTCGGATTTTACCTTCTTATGTGAATATGAAGTACCGATTGAGCCGATTGTGCAATTGAGTAAGTCCTCAACCTGTTCTTTGTTGAAAATTGAAGGAATCACACGGAAACGAGTTATGAAGCAACTATCCACGAGTGTAACAAGATAATAAGCAGTCAGGAAGTGCGATGGGCGCAAGTGTGTGGATGTGCATGAATATGTGTGAATGTGTGTGTGTGTGTGTGTGTGTGTGCGCGTGTGTGTGCGCACGCATGTGCGTGTGTGTGGATTCACATCGATTCACATTGCTTCGCCAGTTGTGTGGATTAGACCGTTATCTGGCGCAAGTCTTGATCTGTCTCATTCAGATGTTGTTCGCTATCGTTGCTATAAGAGAAAATCTGTGGATGCACATCCAGTGCATTTGCAGATTTGCGCGCTTCTCTTGCGACGGGCGTATACATGGTACATGGTACATGGTACATGGTGTGTGTGTGTGTGTGCGTGTGTGTGCGTGTGTGTGTGTGTGTGTGTGCAGGGCTGTCGGAAGGTATTTTAGTGTGGTACGGTCAGCCATCTGAAGTACAATTTACTCGTGGGGCAGGGGTTGCTAAGCCGAAAATTTTGGAAATTTAGAGCCCAAATCAGTGCATTTTATTGATTCACAGAGTACTTGGGGCAAATAGTGTTACGTTTACCGTAGTGACCGTACCGTGTCCCACGCCCCTGGTGTGTGTGCGTGTGTGTTCGTGCGTGCGTGCGTGCGTGTGTGTATGTGTGTGTGTGTGTGTGTGTGTCCCATATGGTGCGGTGGTATGTGCAGTCGATTTCCAATCCATAGGTTGCGGGTTCAATTCCCGACGATTATGGTCGCACACGTCTTTCTTCTCTTTCTCGGTCTCTTCCTGACTTTTCTTTCAATAACCTGGGTGGTTACCAACAGCTAGTGTATGCCGGAGTATGTGGTGTGGTGTGTGTGTAGAAAAAAAAGAAAAAAGAAAAATAGGGATTCACTGGCCAGAAAAAGTCACTTCAATCAGCTGTGTGGTGGATACCAGGCTAAAGAAAATAGTGGCGGTCAATTCATCAGCCTTGCAAGCTGTTGAATGGTGTAATCCCAGCACAAGTTGCTGTGTCTAACATAGCTGTTCGCTGTCATCGCTTCCGCGATGGGCAGGTCTGAGGTCTGAGGTGTGTCTGTGTGTGTGTGTGTGGTGTGGGTGGGTGGATGTGGATGTGTGGGTGTAGATGAGCAATGTTTCGATTTCTCTCTCTTGTCTTCTCTCTTCCTGTCGGTGTCTCCCGCTTCTGGGCCGGCATGGCCCTTGCTTCATGCATGCTTGTTCCTGTTGTTGTTGTTGTGATATGTAAGCACATGTACCTCTCTACTGTGTCGTGCCGCTACTCCGGCTTTGGCCACGTGACCACGATTTGTATCCCCATTTCTCCTTTATCCTTTCTTTTTTCTTTTTGCTAAAAGCTTTCTTCTCGCCGTGACCACGATTTTCTTCTTCATTTTCTTCTTCATTTCTTTTTTTCTTTCCTTCTTTTCTCTTCTTCCTTTGCTGAGAGCCTGCTGTTCCTATATTCTCTTTTCATCTGTGTCTGCTGCCGAGTTTCCCATTTCTGGGTTACTTGGACTTCATTCGCTTCCTTGTCATTAGACATGTTCAGTCCGTTCGGTTTGCGAATTAAAAAATAAGCAAAACCAACCACCGATACCTGGGCACAAAACTGACAGGCTACGGAGACATTCAACGACCTGAGGCCTAGCTCTAACACATCTCCAGGACGCAAACCAACAGCTTTCAGCTTGTGCCCTGTTACCGCTCGTTCTGACTGCTTATTATCTTGCGACAGTCGTGGATAGTTGCTTCATAGCTCGTTTCCATGTGATTTCCTCTGTTTTAATTAGATCTACTAGCTCAGAATCCGTGCTAAACCTGTTCTTAGTCCTCTTTTTCAAACAAGGTGAAGGAAAAATAAAGCTTAAAAGCTATATTTTTCCTTCTCCATACGCGCAGGCAGTATTTGTCTTGTCGTGTTCGCCCATGGTCATGTTGACAACAACAACAAGGCCGACCATACAAGGTGTTTCGAAACACTGCCACCAGTTGGGTTTCACAGACGAGCATAAACCTGTCTTACAGTCATTAAGACAAATACACAGACAGGTACTGCAATTTGCACGTATGAAGAAGATTTGACTTTGGGTTGTAGGATGTCAGACTCTTAATGCCTATCCATGCCATGATTTGTGTTGTCCTGTGTGGGTCATGCTGTGTTTAGAAATCTGCCCAGCCACCAAGTACTTTCCCCACCTGATCGAAGGAGAAACGTCGCCAGTGATCTGTCCCGAAGGTGAACTACCCTACGGTGGTACAACATCAACCTGTCGGGATGGAACGCACCATGTAACCGGCGATGAATACTGTAGAAGTGAGTGCAGTGGAAGTCGCTTTATAAATACGTATTCTGAGAGAGACGTAATATTGCTTTAGTACGAACATTATCCAGAGCATGGGTGTTTGTATCTGTTATTGCACGATTAAAGAGGTCATATGAAATATAGAACGAGTAAAAGAGGTCCCCCGAGGTCTTTTACGAGGTCTATATTTCATATATTGACCGATTATGAGGGCAATAATAGATTTATCACGACATAGCATACCTAAACTGTTTTGAGCTGTGTTTATAGGAAGAAAGGAATACTATTGTAATAGTACATAGTATGTGCATATGCCGTTTACATTGGACATTACTTCTCTATAAACAGAAGTTTTTAGTTGTCACTTGTAGTATGTTCCCCAAGTTCTTTGACTGAGAATCTGACAGTTTGGGTTCAAATCCCAACATTTGGCTTCAGATTTTTCTTCTTTCAGTTCTGATTTTTTCTAAGCTGAGGAAAAAGTTCTAAGTCCTCGGGCTAAGTGGTCAAAAATAAGTGGTCAATATAAACGGTCAATATATGCTGATATTTGACCGCTTATGTATATAATAAATGTAGAGCCGAAGGATTTATTGCAATTACATACCAGTATAAAAACCGAGGTCCCCCGAGGTAATTGCAATAAATCCTGAGGCTACTACTTCGAAGTACATTTATTATACATAATTATGTTGACCTTCGCTTTCCCTAAAAAGGAGTATTTTATAAACAGTATTTATTGGCCTTTATATAGTGGTATTTTATAAACAGTAGTTATTGGCCCAAAAGCCAATAAATACTGTTTATAAAATACCACTAAGGCCAATAAATACTGTTTATAAAATACTATTTTTAGAGAAAAGTGCTGTGCTGCATGAAAAAGTACAGTGGTATTTATTGAGTCAAGCAAGTTTATTTGAATTTGATACTGTTGATGGCGTGGTCACGAATGAATGTGGGTATTTATCAAAGGTCAATATATAGGCCATTCACACGGCGAGCAAACTCACTTTTATCGTACTGTTTCCAAGGATATTCACTCGGATACGATAAACTTGGACTCACGCGTGCAACTGATTTTTTATCTTGGCCGAGGCCCTTTTGCTCGCGATTATCTTTGCACGCCAGGAAAAGTGTCGGTTGTTTAAAGTGCGTACTGCAAATGCAGTGCTTGAACTAAGGAAAATTCAAAATTTAACATTTCCCGGCATTTTCGGGAGGTCACTATGGATACACTAGAGAGGTTTTGCATTCCGAATTTCGGAATGATTTTCGACTGTGCTTTTCCGAAAAAAGCGCGTTCCGAAAAACGGTATTTTCAGTGTTTTGCATTCCGAAAATCTGATTCGACTTCGTTTCCAAGGGTTGCCATGCAAAACAAAATGGAGAGCGTCGAAGGGGTTGAGCAGGATCAAATCCATGTGCGCAGGTCAAACTGAATTTGGGTGCGGTTCGAAGACGAGGACGGACTGATGGTGGACCAAGTGATCCAACAACTGAAGACGAGGTTGGCGAACTACTGTCTTGTACTGTTAGTAGGCTCCAGGGCAAAGGAAGATAGAGTGTGATGAAGTGTGAGAAGATTAGTCAACATGGCGAGATCAGCGAGAGCAGCAAAACCAGCAAAAATCAAAACTACATACGTGGAAATTTTTTCAAATAATCGAGAGCAGCAGAAAACAAAAATACAAACATGAAAAATACACTTTTTTTGTATTCAAATATGCACTCCCAAACATGAAAGAGCCGAAAATCTATTTTCGGAAAACCATGCACTTTCGCCATCACACTTCCGAAAGTTCGACTACTTTTTCGACTGCTGCCGCCACATTCCGAAAATAATTCCGAAATTCGGAATGCAAAACCTCTCTATTGACAGTTGCAAAGTTTGCCCAGCACCGTCTGAACTGGATCACGGTTTGCCCGTGTTTTCTCGGTCACACGCATGCAAATGTTTGCACGTCGTGTGAATGGCCTATTAGAGATCACAAGTTTCTGTGGGGGTCAATAATAAGAGAGTGATAATGGTTCATACGTCCACATAATTATTTATTTTACGTTTTTGAAAAGAAAAAGGACCAAGGAGCATAAGATAATCCTTGGCTCTCCATCCGAGTTCGTTTTTAAGAGTTGGGTTTGTGAATAAAAGTAAAAAAATTAAAAAATTAAATTCATACCTTCATGTACATGTATGTGTTGTTGTGATAAAAGGTAACTCTGGCATCGAGTACTCTTTCCTGCTGGGGGGGGGGGGGGGACCCGGGGGAGGGTTATGTTTTATCAGAGTTCCACTTCAGTGATGAGCAATTCTGATCTGACTTGTCTTGCTGGATATACACATGCTTGCTGGTAAAATTCAACAGACAGGTACTACAATTTGCAGGCATGAAGAAGATTTGACTGTGGTTTGTAGCCTCGGAGGATGTCAGACTCCTGATGCCTATCCATGCCATGATTTGTGTTGTCCTGTGTGGTTCGTGCTGTGTTTAGAAATCTGTCCAGCCACGGAGTACTTTCCCAAACTGATCGAAGGAGAAACGTCGCCAGTGATTTGTCCCCAAGGTGAACTACCGTACGGCGGTACGACATCAACCTGTCGCAACGGAACACACCGTGTAACCGGTCTTACATACTGTAGAAGTGAGTGCATTGGAAGTCGCTTTATAAATACATACATGTATTCTGGCGAGACGTAATATTGCTTTAGTACCAACATCATCCAGAGCATGGGTGTATCGATTCATACGTCCACATAATTATTTATTTTACGAGTTGGGTTTGTGAATAATAGTGAAAAATATATGTTGGACTCAGTAGAGCGTCCAGCCCCTATATGATGTCCAACCCCTATATAGAGTCCATTGGTCCAAAATCACTGTACAGAGTCCAAACTTGGAATCAACTGTAAGCTCAAAGTTTAGATGGACATCACTCCCTGTATAGAGTCCAGCCAATTGGCTTCACCCCTATATAGAGTCCATTGGTCCAAAATCAACTGTATGGAGTCCAAACTTTGAAATCAACTATAAGGAGTCTTTATGTGGACAACACTCCCTGGATAAAGTCCAGCCAATTAGGCATCCCCTATCCAGAGTTCGAAATTAGACATAGGATCTGCTGTAAGCAGTGAATATTAACCAGAAAACGGCCTCTCCCTTTAATCCTTTACATCATTCACTTCTCAAGATAAAAAATAAGTATTGAGGCGCCACTGCAGCCACTTCATTACATGAAAAACCCTACAAACACCATCCTCAAATCAAGTGGTTTCTTCGCAGACGCTGCAAATTACAATATCTCAATCATGTGGTGTTGCCAATTTATTGTGCACGCACACACACACACACATGCACACACCCACACAACGCCAAGAAAATACCTAGAAAAAACCAAGAATCGAAAGAGAATAATGGAGAGTCAAGGATTAATTATTTGTTTTCAAATTATTGTGCGCACGCACGCACACACCTTTGACCTTTGACGCCCATCGCCGGAGGCGATGATAGCAATGCTACGGCAGAAGCCATAGCAACTTGTGCTGGGATTGCACCATTCAACAGCTTGCAAGGCTGAAGAATTGACCGTCACTATTCAGCCTGGTCTACACCATACAGCTATTTGAAGTGATTTTTCTGGCCAGTGAATCCCTATTTTTGGTCTTTTCACACACACACACACACACACACACACACACACACACACACACACACACACACACACACACACACACACACACACACACACACACACACACACACACACACACACACACACACACACACACACACACACACACACACACACACACACACACACACACACACACACACACACACACACACACACACACACACACACACACACACACACACACACACACACACACAAACTTATACAACGCCAAGAAAACACCAAGAACAGAGTAGAGACACAATACACACACAACTCCAACAGCCATGCAAACGTCCACCCATTTACACGTATTAAAAGTCAAGAGGGATAACAAATAATTATACGAAACGAATGCATACGAACGTGGGCGGATGCATGCTCGTTTACATACATGTAGTAGTGTAGAGTAACATAGAGCAGTAGTCAGCATAATACTAGCATATGCTGAGAGTGCAATAGCAAGCTTCACCATTGCTCATGGCCATGCAAATGTTCAGCAGCACTCAGTTCCGCAAGCTTCTGAAGATCAGCACACCTGCAACAAATAGATAGCATAAGGATACGCTTATTACCGTAATTATGCATGGGAGCACACAAATATCAAGTTCTCAGCGAATGTGATGCTCAATGAAAATCCATCCACACAAAGACCTGTGAACAGGTGACGGTGGGGACAATAATCTATTAGTAATACGAGGAATAAGATCGAGGGAGAAGACGCACAGACACACCACCATACATGTAGTGTACACAGTGTTTCACTTCACTGCAACTAAATTGAAATGAGATGAATTAAACCATCTGTACAGCGTTGCAGTCAGTCAGTCTTCCCCAAGATGGAAATGCAATGATTTGTTGTCACGAGGCAGTTTCACTGACACAATGTCATGTTTGTGACATCAAAACGGTCACTTCATGGAATACGAGTACATGTATTAGCTTGAGAAGCTTTTTCTTGTCATCGGCATACAAGAAATCCTCCTACTGCTACTA